TATGACTGCTTTAAAATCTTTGTGAGATAATTCTAACATGTCTGTCATCTTGCTGTTGTCATCTATTGACTGTCTTTTTATCATTCAGTTTAAGATCTTCCTGGCACTTGGTATGATAAATGATTTTTGATTGAAACCTGGCATTTTCATTTGATGTTATATGACTTTGTATCTTATTTAACCTTCTGTTTTAGCTGTTTTTTTCTTATACAATTCAGGCATGCGGAGAGGGGCTGCCATCTTGTTTACTGTCAGGTAGAGGTAGAAATCCAGGTTCTCCACTTTGCTTCTGTTGACACTCAAGGTGGAGAACTCTTTGTTACTGCTGGATGAGGGTGTGAGTTCTGGCTTCCCACACGATCTCCACTGACACCATGGAGTCGGAGGCAGCAGCCTTGCTGCTGTTGAGCAGAGGTGAATGTCCTCACTCTCCCCTAAACCTCATCTGACAGCACCATAGTGGTGGTTTGGGGGGGAGGTATACTTCATGACTTCCAAGTAGGGATGGAAACCCAGGCTATCCATGTGCTTTTCACTGACATCATACTGAGGAATCATTACTGTCCAGCAGGGATGAAAGTTCTGGCTCCCTACTTTGCCTGTTCTGAGAGCATCTCAGTGGGAATTTGGGGCACCTTGTTATAACCTTGAGAATGTAGAAATTTAGACTCCCTACTCAGCCTGGCATGGATGGGGTGAAGCCACAGTTTTTTGTATGGTATTGAGGTAGAGTAGAGTGGTTATTGTCTAAAAATTTTCTCTCTTGCTAGGCTGTCGCTTTCCTGGTTCTCTGGCTAGAGGTAACAGGCTTTTATTGGGACATTCAATTAATTAATTAATTTTGTCTGTTCCCGTTGGTGTTTCCAAATTGCTGGCTTCTTTGGCTCCATGTCTGGTACAAAAAAAACAAACCCCTTGCCATCAAGTCAATTCCAACTCATAGCAACCCTATATATATAACCCAAAAAGACAACCCAAGGAACTCACCACCATGTTCTTCTTCAGATCCTGAAATCTTTAGCTAGCCTGCCTTCTTCTCTCTCCACCTTTCAGAGTATTCTTAGTTTTGTTTTATAAATAATGTCTAGGGATTTAGTTATACTTAGTGGGGGAATAGAAAAGTACATCTGCTACCTTTCCCTGGAAGTAGAAGTCCTGTTCTAAGTATTTTTAGGCAGCTGTACTTCTTCTAGTGCTCACTAATATTTAGTTCTGTTTCTAGTGGTAAACTGCACTTTCTAGGCATTCCCCTGCCCAATTCAGACCAATGAAAGAAAGGTGTTTTTATGATAAAAAAAAAAGTTGTTTTATGAAAACTATTCAAATATTTTAGAAAATTGAAATAAAGGAAATTTGCTGAAAAAATTGCTGACAAAGTGGATGTGGGTAAGATAATGGTAATAGATTAGAGAAAATAATAAATATATAGAAGGATCCTGCACTAGAATGTGCCGTATTTTTTTTAAATCTTGCTGCACTTAAAAAAACTCAAACTGGAAATTGTAGTTAGTGCATTATGATTAGTTTTATACAAGAAAGATGACTTGAAATTCCAGCCAACACATATATACTGAAAGAAAAACCCATAACCCTATACTAAACAATTGTTAAATACATGTACACTTGTCTTTTAATTAAAATAAAATTTAAAAAATATTCTCTTGTTGTTCTGATCTTTAATCAATTTCTGTTAATTAACCAAATATAAGTTTTAATTGCTCTTGATGAAGGGCTTATATTGCCTCAGAGTTCTTAGCTTAGGACACTAGAAAATAATGACATAATTATCAAAGGTCAAGAAAACAGGGAACGGATTAACTGTCCATGATTTTGTAGCTTGCATTGGACTAACTTCCCACCAAAATTAACTATTAAGGCTGCCCAAAATATATAAAATAGCTTTTAAAGGCATTGGAGAATCAGTGTAGGCATGTCTTAAATGGCTACCGTCCTTGAAAAGAAGGGAAGCTCACAAGGTGAGCTCTTAATTTACCCTGGCTTTTCCCTCAGGGCGTTTGTGATTTTCAATTTCTAAAATAGTCCCTCCACACCCACTTCAGATCAATAGATGTGAAATTTAACTGTAGAATAAGGAAAGATGTATGATATGATGTAGCAATTCCTTGTCTTGAAGAGGGAATGGAGCAAGAAAGAAAGGAGAGAGAGTTTGTGGTGTGGGAGAAGAGAGTACAAGCAGAAGGGGGTAGTTTTACTGAACTGAGGAGATAGGCGTCTTAGAGCTACCAATGTAGCTTGGACTTGAAGGACAAAATCTCAGACGAAAGGGAGTTAAATAAGTGAATTCAAAGATTTTCATACAAACTCTCTTCAGGGTGTTGGCTAATTTCTAAGCTGTGTGTGTGCTGGGCAAGACTCTGAAGTGCAGCAGAAAACAGCTGCTGGGAAGCTAAGGAATTGAGTATATATTTTAGCAGTTGCACAAGCCTTGAAAACCCTGTGGAGTACAGTTCTGCTCTGCACACATGGGGCTGCCATGAGTCAGAATCGAGTTGACAGCAACTAACAACAACAACCCTTGTTAGAGGGAGATAGTATTATCTAGACCCTTTACATTTTTTCATCCAATGTCCAGTACCAAATAAAAACCACAAGGCATCCTAGAAAAAAGGATAAAATGTTTGAAAACCAGTAGAAAGAAACAGACTATAGAAACAGTCCCATGGATCATTCAGATATTGGAGTTTTCAGACAGAGATTTTAAAATAACCATGATTTACAGAACAAGGGGATACTGTGTAGTTTAAAGTCAGTAAAGGTGTTCATCAGGGTTGTATGCTTTCACCATACCTATTCATCTGTATGCTGAGCAAATAATCCAAGAAACTGGACTATATGAAGAAGAACGGGGCATCAGGATTGGAGGAAGACTCATTAACAACCTGTGTTATGCAGATGACACAACCTTGCTAACAGTGAAGAGGACTTGAAGCACTTACTGATGAAGATCAAAGACTACAACCTTCAGTACGGATTACACCTCAACATAAAGAAAACAAAAGTCCTCACAACTGGACCAATAAACAACATCATGATAAACAGAGAAAAGATTGAAGTTGTCAAGGATTTCATTTTACTTGGATCCACAATCAACACCCATGGAAGCAGCAGTCAAGAAATCAAAGGATGCATTGCACTGAGCGAATCTGCTGCAAAAGACCTCTTTAAAGTGTTAAAAAGCAAAGATGTCACCTTGAAAACAAGGTGTGCCTGACCCATACCTTGGTGTTTTTAGTTGCCTCACATGCATGGGAAAGCTGGACGATGAATAAGGAAGGCCAAAGAACTGACGCCTTTGAATTGTGGTGTTGGCAAAGAATATTGAATATATCATAGACTGCCAAAAGAATGAACAAATCTGTCTCGGAGAAGTACAACCAGAATGCTCCTTAAAAGCAAGGATGGCGAGACTATGTCTCACATACTTTGGATATGTTATCAGGAGGAATCAGTCCCTGGAAAAGGTTATCATGCTTGGTAGAGTAGCGGGTCTGCGAAAAAGAGGAGACCTTCGACTAGATGGGTTGACACAGTGGCTGAAACAATGGGCTCAAACATAACAACCATTGTGAGGATGGCGCAGAACCGGGCAGTGTTTCTTTCTGTTGTACCTAGGGTTGCTATGAGGCAGGACCAACTCAACGGCACCTGACAACAACAAGATGATTTACTATGTTCAAGAAAATAAAGAAAATGTTGGAGAATTTCACCAGAGACCGCCAATCAATGTTTGTAACAATGAAAGTCAAGTAAAATTCTAGAACTCAAAAGCAATATAGCTGAAATTAACAATTCAATAAATGGGATTAATAGGAGATTATGCACAGCTGAACACTCCAACCATAGAAGTTTCCATTCCTTCCAATGTTTCTGTATCCCTGTCGGTGATGTGTTAATTTCCGGGTCGCTTCAACAAACCATGCTGCCATTTCTGCGTTATTGAGTTTATATCACTCTGGTGTCTCCCTCCTTGTTCCACCTTGTTCCAGGTGAGTTTAAGGGTCCTCAGCTCCTTAAATCTATAGGGGGATTTCTAACCACCTTTCCACTTCCATTTCCTTCCTAAACCAAAACAAACAAACAAACAAACAAACAAAAAAACCAAACCCATTGCCAGCGAGTCTATTCCGACTCATAGTGACCCTATAGGACAGAGTAGAACTACCTCAAAGAGTTTCCAAGGAGTGCCTAGTGGTTTTGAACTGCTGACCTTTTGGTTAGCAGCCGTAGCTCTTAACCACTATGCACCAGGGTTTCCTAAGAATTACTAAGAATGTAAAATATATTGCTGCAAGCAATGCCTCAAGAATGGATGAGAATGAAAAATATATTGTGTAAAATTCCAAAATGTTATCCTGCAACAGTTAGCAGTATATTTAGGTAGACCATTTTTGATTGAAGATGAAATCCACAAGGGTAATGTAACTTTAGATGGTCTGTCCTTGGCTAACTCTTGAGCATTTTTTTTTTTTATCTCCTTTCCTGTGTGGGGTCTACAGAGGGAAGGGCTGAATTACATAGGACATTTGAATCATGCATCAAGGTGATATTAAGGAAAAGTGAAGCTGCCCTTTGGGAAGTGATCTACAACTGAGTTATGCTTATATGATGTCCTTTATGAGTTTTGTAAGCCAAGAAGTTGGTTTTGTTAATTCATAGTAATATTTTTTTTAATGTTTTTACGTGTATTACAAAACTGAGATTGATGGACTCTAAGTTATTCACGTAGAAATCAATGAATGTACAGTTTGGTGTTTTTTTTTAATTTATGAAAGAGAATTGTGCTATCTAATATAAAAAACCCACACTGACAAAAATAACGAACTGAGATTAGGTGGGTGCAGGTTATGAGGAATCCTTTCCAGAGAATGTATTCAGCTAATCTATTTATGGTGACTTCACTCTATTGTGCATAAATACTTCCTAACTTTCAGTCTAAGTGATACTACATGTAACTTTCATGCTTTATTTTGTTTATTAAGGTCTCGTTAAGACTAAAAAGGAAGACATGGTGATCAAAAATATTGTACGTGGTGAGGGTTTTAAGACTATTTCAGCAACACAGTATGAAACAATAATGGCCATGACCAATTTGGCCATACTAAACTGTCAAATATATGGGAGAAATGCACTTAATCTTAAGGTATGCTGGATCTTTTTTAATGAAAATGCCTTACTGTATTATCAGTTATGTTTGCTTCAGGTTTCCTAACTTAGGTCCATTTCCATGATGTTGAAGAGGTCTTTCCTGGTGCAATTGAGATTTCCTAGGAACACATTCAAATTGCATCTGTAAACCTATCTGCCTTAGATTGCCTTCAGTCCATTAACTTAGTTTAAAACAATACTAGGATCCTAAAGCAGTTACAGTGCTTTTTTCATTACATAGCACCATAAGAGAAGTGGGATTCAGAGTTATCGTATTGTTCAGTTACCAAAAATCTTAGTCCTGTGTTCCAAATCTAGCACTAGGCTGGCTTTTCACTGAACAAAAAAATGCCCATTTTTATGAAAAACAACAACAATAGCTAACACTTATTAAATACCTACTATGTGTCAAGCAAATGTTACTCCTTGTCTTAGTTATCTAGTGCTGCTATAACAGAAATATCACACATGGATGACTTCAACAAACTGAAGTTTATTCCCTCACAGTCTAGTAGGCCAGAAGTCCAAATTTAGGACATCAGCTCCAGGGGAAGGCTTTGTCTCTCTCTTGACTGTGGAGGAAGGTCCTTGTCATCAATCTTCCTCTGGTGTAGGAGCTTCTCTGTGTAGGAATGTTGGGTCCAAAGGATACACTCTGCTCCTGGTGCTGCTTTCTTGGTGTTATGAGGTCCCCCGTCTCTCTGCTTTTTTCTGTCTTTTATATCTCAGAAGAGATTGGTTTTATACAAAATCTAATCTTGTAGATTGAGTCCTGCCTCATTAACATAACTGTCCCTGATCCCACCTCATTAACATCACAGAGGCAGGATTTACAATACATAGGAAAATCACATCAGATGACAAAATGGTGGACAGTCATACAATACTGGGAATCATGGCATAGCCAAGATATTTTGGGGGGACACAGTTCAATCCATGACACTCCAAAAACTTACAATTCTGCAAAATGGGTATTATAATCTTCATTTTACAGATGAGGACACTGAGGCTCAATAAAAAGTAATTTGTTCAAGATCACACAGCAAGTAAGTGGAATAGCTTGGATTTAAACCCGGAATTCTTTGGCCTCAAAATCTATACTCTTTTTTAAAAAATGGAAAAAAAAAACTTTTTATTTTTAAATAATCTCAAACTCACAAAAAGTTGCAAAGATAGTACAAAGAACTTTCATACGCTCTTTACCTAGATTCACCAATTTTTTATTTTACCACATTTGCATATAGAGATATATAATAAATATATATGTAATATATATATAAACACATATATATGGATGTACTATCTATCCTCATTATTCATGGATTCCATATTCATGAATTCACTTATGTACTAAAAATACTCATTGTGATTTTGTGGTTTATTCACAGACACGCACACGTGCAGAGTGGTGACAAATTTCCAGCTGAGGTCAAAAAAGACCGATTTGGTATTTGCTAATTCAGTATTTGTGGGGACTTTATATAACATAACTAACCCAAATAATGAGAATTGCATATATATATATATATATATATATATATATATAAAACCATTTAAGAAAAATTAGACATCCTGATATTGTCTTATACAATCATAATGCAGTTATCAAATTTATAACCTTAGTTCAAATTTTGTCAACTGTCTCAATTTTTAAAAAGTGGTTTTTTTATGACATAAAATCCAATCAAGAATCACACATTACATTTAGTTTTCATGAATTATTTAGTTTAAAAAAATATTTTTATTATAAAATAAAACACGTGTAGAAAGCAACATAAATCAAACAAATGACTTAATTATTTTATGATTATTTTGTTGCACCACATTGCCTTCCATTGTCCCATATAAGAGTTGCATACTGATAGAATGTCGTATATGAGATGTATGTTACCTCATAGCTTCAATAAATGTTTGTCTACTTCCCTGCCTTCCCCTAATCTATTAAAGTTACAATGTAGCTACATATAAATTACCTCAACATACCAGGAAAAAAGACTTGGAATCTTGTTTAGTGTTTTTTTTTTTTTTTTTTTTTTTAATAAGACAATTACTGAGTTTACAGTTTACCATGTTAAAGGAGAACACCACCTCCACAAAATTTTGGCAGTGTCTCAGAGGTGGGAGGGAATATATTACTTTTTAAAGAATGCTTATAAAGCATATATGAATCTGAAAATACATTCTGAATCATCATCAAAGTAGGTTACTAATAGATGAGACAAATATTTATTACATTTTAAAAGAACATTTGGAAGTCACCTGGGGACAAGATGTCAATGGTGACATTTTTCTTCAATCTTCCCAAATCATCTCACAGTACATGTAGAACAATTAGGTAATAAAAAATAAAAAACATAGACAACATCTTCAACAAAACTAGAGACAAGATATTTCCACAAACCTCAGAATATGATAAAATGAGACCAGTCCCCAACCAGCAGCAAGGCCTCCTAGGATCAACAGCTGTGCCGGAGATAGTAGAGGGAAGGAAAAGGGGATTTCTGGCAGCGCTAAGAACTAGGGAACTCAAAAAGCACCAACAAGTACTCACCCACAAGGGAAAGTTCCCTACAAAGTGGAAAACCCAGTAAACAGATCTGGGAACAACTCAAGTGACTGGGCAGATGAGAGGACAACTAGGACAACCAAAGCCCTCAAAACTCTCAGAAATAATAACAAAAACACTGTTGCAGAAGGACAGAACCACACACACAGGAAAACTACTGGGGGTAGAATCCCAAAATGAGTAGGACAAGAACTCTGGAGATAAAGGAGAGGAAAAGTGAGTGGGAGTGGTGGAGCTAAGGGTGGGGAGAATCAGAGGAAAAGATCTTGAAAAGCACCGTAGAGGTAGCTACACAGAGAAGCCATATTTCTTATTTTTAAATACTTCACTAGAACAAATGGAGCCCTGGTGGTGCAGTGGTTAAAAAGTTCAGCTGCTAACTGAAAGGTCAGAGGTTCACACCCACCAGCTGCTCCAAGGGGGAAAGATATAACAGTCTACTTCCATAAAGATTCACAGCCCTGGGAAACTCTATGGGGCAGTTATACTCCATCCTATAGGGTTGCTATGAGTTGGATGGAGTTGATGGCAGTGCGTTTGTTTTTTGGTACTAGAGCAAGGAGCTTGAAAGCCAAGAAAATAACAAGTTATTCTAGCCATTCTCACCCTATATGAAGAAAGCCCCTCCTAAAAATACAAGAAAAGCCATCTTATTTTAACATACGGAAAAGCTAAGCAGTCAAATCACATGCAAAAAAAAAATCTTAAGATTTAAAAAGGGCAATAATCTGAATAACACATTAACAAACAACAAAATCTCCAGAAAAATATGGCTATATATAATTGTAAAGCAATATTTCAAAATGAGCTAAAATAAAGTGATGTAAGCTATGAAAGAACAGCATAAATCACAGATGGAAGAATTTAGAAATTATATGAAGGAAAATATTAACAAAGAGACCTGATAGAGATGAATAAATAATTAAAAAAAAAACAGAAATGAAACAAATTAGAAGTAACACAAAAATAAATAAGACACCACAAAAATATAGCAAGAGAAATAGAGGATGGCAAGGAGAAAATGAAAAATCTAACAGAAATAAAGATAAAAAGGATTCAAGAGAAAGTGTTGCATATGGAAGACAGGAGAAGAATATCCAACATACTTGTAATAGCAATCCCTAAAGAAATGGAACAAAACAAATATTATAAACTATACTTCAAGAAAAAAATCCTTGAAATAAAAGAAAACTAGAACCTAGATATTCAGAGAGCAAAGCATTTGCTTGGGAAAATTCACCCGGAATGATCAACATTGAAGCCTATTCTAGTAAAACTTTATTGTTGTTATTGTTAGTTCCTATGTGTTCCAACTCATTGCAATCCCACATGTGTCAGAGTAGAACTGTGACCGTAGGGTTTTCAAGTCTGACCTTTCAGAAGCAGATCACTAGGCCTGTCTTTCGAGGCACCTCTGGGTGGGTTGGACTCACTGACCTTTAAGGCTAGTAGTCGAGCACTTAACTGTGCTACTCAGGGACTCCTAATAAAGGTACAAAACTTAAAAAAAAAATTTTGTACTTGAAACTCACGGCAAAAACAATGTTATTTAAAGTAGAATATTGACATAATTTATTGCCCAAATCAGGAAACTGAGAATTCAAGGGAGCACTAAAATAATTACATGTCAAATTTAAATTTAAGTGTTAAATACTTAATACTTAAATTTAAATTAAATGTTCAAAAATATTTTTGAAATACTTATTGACCAACAAGTTGGTTTTATTTTGTTGGTGAAGTTATAAATGACTTTATTCAAAATTATTTTCAAAAATAAAATTAATTCTAAAAATAAAAATATTATCTGTGTACATTTGGAGCCCTGGTGGCACACTTGGCTGCTAACTAAAAGGTCAGTGGTTTAAACTCTCCAGCCGCTCTGTGGCAGAAAGATGTGGCAGGCTGCTTCCATAAAGATTACAGCTTTGGAAACCATATGGGGCAGTTCTATTTTGTCCTATAGGGTCATTATGAGTCAGAATCGACCCGACGGCAGCGGGTTCGGTTTATGTGTGTGTACATTTAAGCAAAACTATTTTTAAAAAACTTTTTTATGTAATTATGAATTTTAGATAGAAAATATAATTATTGGTATATATCCAGTTTTTTGTCTGTTTCTCTCGAAAACCATGTCACTGGTTTTTTTGTTTTTTGGCGAAATGTATTTTTTTTCCAAAATGGTCTTGTTTTTAAAAATGTTATCAGCTTACACGATATTTTCTTCAAATTTGCATTGTATGGTTAATAAATATGAAATCATTGACATTTCTTAGCAACCTTTCTCTTTAGATCATGTTTCTTAATGATTAAAATTATCTCTGTTTTGTACCTGGTAAGATTCAGAGCAAATTTTAGTAAATGGAATATATTTGAAATTCTAATTCTTCTCATACATCAATATATTCCAAAGCATAGTTGTGGCATTTCTG